TATAAATGTGTGTGCATGTGTTTGTGGAGGTCAGAGGTCAATGAACCTCACGTGTCCCTCAGTCACTGTCCACCTCATTTGTTGAGAAGGGGTCCCTCACTGGCCTGGAGCTCGCTGGTTTTGCCAGGCTGGCTATCTATCTCTAGGGATCCTCCCGTCTATCCTCTTCGGTGTTGTTGACAAGCATGTGCCATCATGCCCAGTTTCTTCTGGTTCTGGGAACTGAACTCAGGTCTTCATGCCTGCATGGCAAGCATTTAGCTGACTGAGCCATCTCTTCTGTCCCTCAGGGAACCTTTAAAATTAGTGTCAGTTCTCGTCTGGCTCACACGACTTAATTTCAGTCCTAAAGTAAGTCTGAAACGTGCAAGGGAAATTCAGAGAGGATAAGGGTAAGCTCTTCCACGAGATCACTGTTCCTCATCACAGAAGGAGGATCTCATAAACTCCTGCATCGTGTGCATGAAATACAGACAGATGCAGTTCTTCAGTGACCTAGGCATACATGCGACACTCTGTGATGGTTAGAGCATAGCTAAAGTGGAGAGTCTCTCCATATAAACACATATATAACATGTTTCTTTAAATGCCTGTGAGGAGAAGAATGGCTACATCTCACAGACACTCATTTCATGCATTAATTTCACTCCTCCAAGAAGCAGAGAAGAGAGCGTGATTAAGCAGAGAAGTAGCTTGCTGAGGAAATACCTGTGATGGGCAAAGGAAGGTGGAAATGGAGAAGGCAGGGAGATCCAAATCCAGCCAGGACGTGGAGAGGAATGAGAAGCCTGGGTGGTTAGTAGAGTGTCAGACATGCTCAGTCTTAGCAGGCTTGAGGTATTATTTGATCGAGGGACCAAGAGCACTTGATTGACATGGATCAAGTCAGATGTGCTCTACAAGAGCAAAGTTGCCTGAGCGGCAAAGGGCTGTCTGGACTGTACTGCGCTGCTCTACAAGGCGAAGATGGCAGGCTGGATTCACACAGTTGGCAGCAGGTTGTTTTCCCAGGTAGCTGCGGTTTGGGGGAATGATGGCGAAGTCAGAATTATGATCTCACGAAGCCTCCTTCCACAGTGTCTGTGCTCTGTGCGGTTTACACGGGTTGTCAGAGGACTGGAACATAATGCTCGTTTGGGGAAGTGTGATTTGTTGCTTCATCCACAGTCTTCTGAGCAATGTTTTTCATTTTCCTCTCGCTTTAACTTGCTAAGCCTTAAGAGAATTGATGGATAAGGCCAGGTCGCTATGGTGGATACTAACGTTAAGCCATCTACTCTGCCACTTCAAATCATAAATCCCAGAAAATGGTCCCAATTCTGTTGTGCGTTGTTTTAAGAAGCAGGTTGATAGATTGCCTTTTTTTTTTTTTTTTTTTGATCCTCCAAACCTCAAACTCTTACTTTCTCCCTAATCACTAACACAATCCTACCAGCCAATGGTGTCAGATATGTGCTGACTGGCCAGTCCTTCTCCAATCAGAACGGTTCTTCCAATGTTACTGAATGCTTGAGGAAAAGACACACACACACACACACACACACACACTTTGTGACTCAACTCTATCAGTTGTTTTTCCCATTTCTATCTATCAACTGAATCTGGCTTATCCTGAGATCCTTCAGTCAAGTGGCATCGCCCACAGGCTTTCCCAGAACCTCACCACCAACAGCGTTTCTTGACCTCCATCACACCTGGCCACACATACTTCAGAGTGGAGCAAGAGGAGCCTCTCCTGGGGTTGGGTTTCTAGGTAAGAGAACCCAGCTCTGACTCCCTGTAGCCACAGACTTCTCCTTGCTATAAAGGGTCCAAGGGACTAAAGTCTTGTCTTATTGACACCTGAACTCTGAATAGTCACAGTCTTCTCTTTCTAGCCTTTAGGAATTTCATCTGTCTCCATCCTCTCTGGACAGACATCACAAATTTGTACTTGTTAAGATCCACTGCCAACAGGTGGCTCTCAGGATGTCTGGTCTAAGGGGTTCACATGAAGTTGCATGACCCCTGCAGACACAGGGAGAGAAGAAGAGCAGGTCCAAGTGTGCCATGTTGGATCCTTTTGATGTCATCATTTTCCCAAGTGACTTTTCAAGCTGAGCATCCACGGCCTATGTTAGGTTAGATGCATATTTCAACTTAAAGTAACCCAAAATGTACAGGGGGAAAAAGGAATTCACATGATTAATTCATTCATAAGATTAGTAGTGAGAGCCAATTAGGACCAGGAGCAATATTCTTCAGAGAGTTAATTTCATTCGAGCTCACTAGCAACTCTGCTAGGTTTCACTGTTCCCTGTAAAAATTAGAAAATCAAGACCCAGAAAAGTCTCACAGGAGGTGGGGCTTGCTCCTCAGGTCTCCATGGCCACTGTCTCTTCCCTACACCTTCCAGGAGTCTGTGGTGTCAACCATGCATTACAGAATGTCTAAAGAAAATGTGTAGTATGCACACAATGGAGTTTGATTCAGCCATGAAGAACAACATTATGTCATTTACAAGAAAGATATGGAACTGGCAACCATCATGCTAAGTGAAATAAGCCAGACTCAGAAAGGCAAACACTGCCTATTTTCTTTCATGTGCGCAACTTGATCTATACATATATGAGTATAAAATACATAAATATTGTATATGACACGAATGTAGAATGGGAACAATTTGTGAAGATTTAGGGAACTAGTGGGAGAGCATAATGGGGGTGAATATGGTCAAAGTGCATGACATAGTTTAATAAAAACATCATTTTTAAAGCTATCATTTTGTATAATAAATATAAGCTGATTTTAAAAAACAGCTAAGAGTAGGTAGTTTCCCATTTGTGAGTTGGTGGTTAGCAACCAGAAGGCTTGTGTTGAGAGTCTTCTTTGTAAAGACTGACATCTGAAAGCTGAAACCTTCTTGGTTGCAGAGAATGGATGTTAGACTTGGGCAACAGGTAGTTAGTGGTTGGGATGGATGTGTTCCCATTTGTCGGGCTTAGAGACTCAGGAATTCCAAAGACCTTCATTCATTTTCCCCTTCCAGAGCTTGTTTTCTTGCAGATAAAACCACTTCCCTTCTCTACCATGGAACATATGTTAAAGAGAATGAATGTTCATGATGCAGGGTAAAAGGATACAAATCTGAACAATGGCTCTCCCTCTAGAGGGCGAGATTCCCGAAGAACTCTTACACATTTATCAGATGGGGTGAAAGTCTTAGAAGTTGTAGAGCAGCCTCCTCTAAATGGGGAGGAGAATCTCAGAAAGCATATAACCTAGTCATTAATGGGCTAGTGTTAAAAGAGCCGAATTTCTTGTCTGCACATTCACCAGGCTTGTTCTAGACTCCAAGAGTCAGTTTGTGAAGAAGCAAGCCATTTGCACACACACTCTTTCAATGCCACTAATGTAAAGTCAAATCAAACGTAGTAGGTGTGGGTATTATGTCTCCAGGCATGGGGTTGGGGGATTTTATGTATAGAGGAGAAAGAACTCTAAGTACCAGTTATTCAGTATTAAAGGACCCCTGACCTCACCACATGACTGTGTCTCTGCACACTGTTGAATACTGCTATTTAAAAAAAAAGTCTGTAAACATCTTTTTTGGAAAATGAATAGTATTAACACATTTTTGCTCAGGAGACAGAATACAGGCACAGCACTCTAGTGGTCCAACCCAGGCTTTCATCCACGCATGCAAGCAAAGACTCTACCTACTACACGCAGCTGCAGCCCTATGTTCTTCTAAGGCTACTTTCGTATACCAGACTTAAGGGATTCTAGAAAGCACTTCAAAAAAATTATGTTCTGTCTGAGTCAATAACGACAAAAGAGGATGACCTCAGAAATGGGCACCATACTGGGCAAACTCTTGTTTGCTCTTAATATTCTGAGTAGTCCTAAGTTAAGCAGACCATGGAATTTGTCAGGAAGAGATAAATAAATAAGACTGTGTGAGCCCTCCACTCAAAAACTATTAAAAAAAACGGAAGAGAAGAAATTCTCCTCCAAGGATACATTTTCTTTTGAGAATTGGGAACAGATAGGTTTAAAGATACTACATTGTGGTAGAAACTGTCTTGAGAACATACAATTTTTAAAACCCTGTCTAACCAAATGCAAGTTGTATCATATTTTTAATAGACTTTATTTTCCTGAAACTATTGCAATCAAACCTAAGCAGTCTTCTCTGGTTTGCGTACTTTTTAAACATCTGCAGATAATGCCATGCACTTACACTTCTGACACCACTTCCTGACTTAAACAAACCCGGGCCGTGACTAAACTTTTTAAAGTAACCTTTGGGGAATTTCTGTAAACACATGGTGTATTCAGTAAAAACTTGGAAGGATGACTGTGTTTGTTTGTTGGTTTGTTTTTAATGTATGTATCAGTCCCTTGATAGGTGGAGACCCAGAGAAGGGAAGGAGGGAAAGGGGTCGAGAGTGAAGAGAGGGAGGAGAGGAAAGGAAAAGGGGAAGAGAGACACAGAGGGACAGAGAAACAGAGAGGGGCAAGATGAATCCACTTCCAGGCAGGAAGGAGAAAGACACCAACTCCGAGGTTTACGAGATTGTGCGGGTTGCCGCAGAGGAATACGGTAACAGCTGGAGATTACGGTACTCTCTGGGCTACTGCCTGTACTACGTCAACCAGAGCCGCAAAGTTCCTCGCTTCTCTTTTCTGGTGTCCAGGAACTGAATATCAAACCGGTGATCGCGGAGTTATTGACTCGTTATATTTGTCTTTTCTTTTCTCTGTTACCAGTCTTTATTTTTAAAAGATCCAGGAGAAACAGAAGCGAGCCCGGAGTTTAAGGTGCTCGGCAGTGGTGGGTGAGTCAGCGGGTGCTAAGGACTGGGACTTGGTCTTTGGAGACAGTCCCCCTCTCCTCCCTGCAGAGAAGCAGCTGGAGCAGCAAGGACTGAAGGTCCGCTCTTCCCCACGCCGGGGCCTCTGCATCCGCGCAGCAGGTGAGTAGCGCTGCGGTGCCGGGCGCAGGCATCCCGCAGGGCCGAGTGGGGGTGGGCAGGTGTGCCTGGCTTCCAGTTGACACTGGACCTCCACTTAGCCCTGCGTCTCCGCTTTGGGACCCGACTTGAATACCAGGACCCCAGAGCTCTGTGTTTTCCTGGTTTGCCATGAGAAGTTACCTTCTAGTTAACAAGTGTCATTTTAACCCAGTTATAGACCCCAGATGGGAGAAAGCGGGTTCCGCAGTGGCGTGGTTTTGATATCGCCTGTGAAGGCTTGAACTTGGGGTTTTCACAGCAGCCTTCGCCAGAGATCCCTGCCTTGGGACTCAACCTCAAAAGACAAGTGTGCATGTCCCCAAGCCCGGCACTCCTGTCCCATGTTTCCGGGTCCTTTTGCAGCTATTTAGGTTATTTAGGTAGTTATTAAGGTTATTTAGGTAGATCATGACCCCTGGCCCAGAAAGTCCCAGACATCCCCGACTGCTGGCACGCAGGTTTGATTTTTTTTTTTTTAAGACCCTTAGGGAATCCGCAGTGACTGTTACTCGCAAAGCCTGGTCCGAGGAGTGATGCGCTCCTATTCAGCTCCCCCAGAAGCCCGGGTGTGGCTAGAGGCTGGAATCCGTAGGGCGGACGCCCCTTGGAGATCTTGCCTGAATCCATCAGGGCCCTGTTTAGCCATGGGGATCGGCTTTGCTGGGAACCTGGCTCTCGCGCGCGGGTAGCTTGGCAGGTAGACAGACTCGCGCGCTCTGCTCCCACGAGCGCCAATTCCGCGGGAGTGAGCGTGCGCGTGGCCCTGCGGTTCCGTGCTCTCTGAGGTTCGCTCTCCCAGGCCGCCCTCTCCAGGTGACTGTGGAGCAACCTGTTCAAAAGGCGACCCGGAGAATCCTCCAGATTCCGCCCGCTAGACTCTGTGCGACAACCCGCCGCCGCAGATGAGGCTGTGGAGCTGGGGTGGTGGTGCAGGGAGGGGGGCGTTTCAGGGCTTTTATTTTCTCCAGGCTGGCTCTCGGAAATCCAGCTTCCAGCTACTGCAGCTTGGGGTTTGGTTGTCATTATTTGAGGTGGGGATGTTGTTTTGTTTTGTTTTTTGTTTTTTTTTTTGGGGGGGGGGTTGTTTTGGGTATTGAACTTGGTCAGCCACGGGGAGGTGGAGCACTCGAAGGCAGCCTCCCAGAGGGGAGGACTGGGGAGGACTGAGAAAAGGGACAGAGCACGCGATCCCCTCCTGTGTCCACTCATCGCCTGCGTCAAGGCCGCACAAAGCCACTCCTGGACTGCAGAGCAGCGGGCTCCCAGCAGGAGTCTGGTTACTGGGCGAGCTCAGCAGGGCCTGACTGTCTAGGGCCCCTGGCTCACTGTCCGCCTTTTTCTTTGCGCTTTTTATTTTCAGCTGGATTCAGATGAACGAAGCTCCAGGGCCGCTTTGGTCTCAGCAAATATTTCAGACCCATGCAACCTCGCCAGAACGCCTAGAGGCTGGAGCTAGCAGGAGCCCATAGTTGGGCGACCAAGCTGAGAGTAAACACCGGCCAGCTGCAGCGCCCAGATGCCCAGCGTCCCTCCTTTTGAACTTCGACGGCTGAGCCACACTTAGCTGCTACCCTTTCGGCAAAGACTGGCAATAGACTTGTGGATTTCTAATTTACCTGTGAATGCACAGGATGGATCAGACCACACAGAAAAGTGAGCTCCTGTAATCTCTGGGATTGCATTCACAGCGGGTCCCCTTGAACCTCGCTGCATGCTTAGGGTAGGGAAGGTGTCCCCAGCAGTCCAGAGCTTTTCTGGCCATGTCACCGTTAATGATCTGTGACTTAGTGTGGCCCTCTGAGGGTTGCCAGGGCTGCCCAGGGTGGTTTCCAACAGGTGTGTCCTCTCCCTTCCCCAGCCCAACCCAGCGGGCAGGATTCCCCCAAGCTGAGGTGTTTTGACTTGGCTTCCTCACTCCCACCTCCGCCCCCCACCAGAGGGTGGCCGTCCAGAGCCGGACCTAGCCCCCTTCCCTGGGATCATGGTGCTTCTCGCTGAAAATGTTTCCGAAGGTTCCAACTGCACCCACCCACCAGCACCGGTGAACATTTCTAAGGCCATTCTGCTCGGGGTGATCTTGGGGGGACTCATCCTCTTCGGGGTGCTGGGGAACATCTTAGTGATCCTCTCAGTGGCCTGTCATCGGCATCTGCACTCGGTGACTCACTACTACATCGTCAACCTCGCGGTGGCAGACCTTCTCCTCACCTCCACCGTATTGCCCTTCTCGGCCATCTTTGAGATCCTGGGCTACTGGGCCTTCGGCAGGGTCTTCTGCAACATCTGGGCGGCGGTGGACGTCCTATGTTGCACAGCGTCCATCATGGGCCTCTGCATCATCTCCATCGACCGATACATTGGTGTGAGCTACCCGCTGCGCTACCCCACCATTGTCACCCAGAGGAGGGGCGTCAGGGCTCTGCTCTGCGTCTGGGCGCTTTCCCTGGTCATCTCCATCGGACCCTTGTTTGGCTGGAGGCAGCCGGCACCTGAGGATGAGACCATCTGCCAGATTAATGAGGAACCTGGCTACGTGCTGTTCTCCGCGCTGGGCTCTTTCTACGTGCCACTGGCCATCATCCTGGTTATGTACTGCCGAGTCTACGTGGTAGCCAAGAGAGAAAGCCGAGGCCTCAAGTCCGGCCTCAAGACCGACAAGTCGGACTCAGAGCAAGTGACGCTCCGTATCCACCGGAAAAATGTCCCGGCAGGAGGCGGTGGGGTGAATGGTGCCAAGAATAAGACTCACTTCTCCGTGAGGCTGCTCAAGTTTTCCCGAGAGAAGAAAGCCGCCAAGACTCTGGGCATCGTGGTGGGCTGCTTCGTTCTCTGCTGGCTGCCTTTCTTCCTAGTGATGCCCATTGGTGAGTGTTCTCAGCCCCACTGCTTAGGGTTTACAGGGAGGGGAGTCTCCACGGGAGACCTCGCCTAGGGTGGGAGGAGGGGGTCTGCATTTCAAAGTGCACGGAAGGACGCCCTGGTGGGGATTAGAGTTTTCCCTCTTTCTATTCCAGTCTCCTTTGCACTGGGTCCTAGGTCACTCGGTCCTCTGCAGCAAAGAAGGCTGCTCCAGATTCGCTGGTCTCTTTATCGAGAATGTCAACTTTTCCTACTGCTTTTAAGCCTGTTTATTTTAAATCTACTCACTCCCTTTAGTGTCCCCAAAGCAGACTACAGAATACTGCTTGTGCTCTAGGATGGGTGGGGAAGCAAGTCCCATTGGCTTGTAAATAACCACCATGCTGAATTCTGGGCAAATGTGTGACAGCAGGATTGGGTTAGATGGTTCGTTCCATTGTGTTAGTTCTAGCGTCTGCTTAGGCTCTGTCTGCCCATTTTGTTTTCTGAATTCATTACGGAAGAGAATATGGTAAGCCACCCATGACAACAGAAATGGTTTTTGGTTTTTTTTTTTACATGCAAACCAATTAAAAACTGTAAAGAATCCACCATATCAATCCCAGTAAGCAAATACTCTTTCATTTTCAGCAGCGAGTTTGAAAACAGACATCACTCTTACCCAAAATCATCCCGGAAGTTACAGATGACAGCTTGAAAACAGTACAATAATGCTGCAAATCCAATTTTTGCAGATGCAAAATTAGCTGTTATCAAAATTAATTAGCTCATTTTAAGTATCAACAAGCTGATCTACTCAGAACAGTCCCCGGTCTCTGGAAGGCCTTCGATGCAATCCCAAAGCACTTCTTTGCTATTTTTAGTTTGTAAGCTAAAACCCAGACTCGCAGGCTGGTTACCACGAACTCTAACAAACATAAATTATAGCAAATAACGACAATAACACAACCGCTCTAAAGTTCCTATGAGGCCAGTGTCAACTACAGTACCATACTTTGCAACATTGCGCCAAAATAATAGGTCTAGTTTTTGAGTGCCAGCAGTGCCCCAGATGTTGACCAGACTTTTCAACCAAACTATCATCCAGCCACCACAGGTGGAAGAAAGACACTTTTCAATTTCTATCAAATGATATAGCCACCAGTCATGTGTAACTGTTTAAGTGTGGATTAAAATTAAATTATACCCAAATTCCATCTCTCAATCCCACTAGCCACTTCTCAAGTGCTCAATGACCAGCTATGACCAGGAGCTACATTTTTGAGACAGTAGGGACACAGGTGATTTCTACTGTTGTGGGATTTCTGTAGAACAAGGCTACCGGAGAGGCGACTCGCCGTATGACCTTCTTTGTGCCTGCCTATCACTGTTCCTAACTCTTCTCCTGGAAGGATGTTGGAGCTTTGAGTTTACAGGACACTCTTTAGCCTCTCTGCTTACTTCTTTTCCCACATTCCTCCTCTTTCTGCATCCCTGAGAGTACACTATTATAGCTGTACCTGCTCACTCTACAAATGCTCGCTGACCCCTGGTTTTAGCTGCTAGCGAGGAACAAGGCAGAAAAGCCTTTGCCCATGAAGTAGACATGTGCAAATGTGCCCTAAAGGTTAAGGATTTATAAGAGCTATCAGAGAGCAAGCAGAGTGAGAGGCCAGGGAGCCTAAGGACGATGGATCAGTCTGGGAAGTTCTATGCAGTGTAGAGACATTCAAGCAGAGCATTGACTCAACTGAGCTTGTAAAATCCAGAAGGAAGAGTGGGTTGGCAGAGGCAACAGCAGATGCAGAGATAGGAAAGCTTCATCTGCTCAAGCAAGGGCAAGAGGCAAGGGCAAAAGGAGGCTGAGGGCAGATGAGGTCACGGCATGTGAGGTCTCTTTGGTCAAGTAAAATTCGCGTACTTGTCTACTTGCGGTTGGAAGCTGTTGGAAGCCGTTGGCGGGTTTTTAAGCAACTAAGTGGCTCGTCTTTGTACTTTGTAATGATTATTGTAGTAGCTGGGTGGAGAATGGCTGATTGCAAGCAAGAGTGGAAACAGGGAGACCAGCGAAGAGGCGGAAAGGTCTGGGAGAGAGGTTGTGTGGCCTTGGACTACTGGGCAAGTGGAGGCAGTGGGGAGGGAGCACACTGGGCACTTCCCTCAAAGGTAGAGCTGACAAATGTGGACAGGGAAAAAAAAAAAAAAGGAGAAATCAAGTGTGATTTCCAAGTTCAGAACCTGAATAACTGGGTAAATGGTGATATATTTGATGGGGGATGGGGGTGGGGAGAGACAGAGAGAGAGAGAGAGAGAGAGAGAGAGAGAGAGAGAGAGAGAGAGAGAGCTGGGAAAGGCTGGAGAAGGTGGCACATGATAGCACCGATGCTGGGAATGTCTATTAGACATCTGAGTGTCTACAAGGTGGGTAGTGGTGCGAACTTGGAACTTTGCAGGGACATGGGCTAAGAGTAAAACACTGGACACATCCATGTGTACATCAAGAGGCATGGGGAGATCCACCAGAGAGGAGGCATCCAGAGAAAAGACAGAGAAGAACTGAGTCTCATAGGTGTCAGGCAGGAAGGAAAGCAGAGAGGAGCGAGGAGGAATGTGGCCCAGGAGGTAGGAGAAAAATGAGGAGAATGTGGAATCCCCAAGGCAGAAGATAAATGTTTAAAACAAGAATAGCTTGATCTACAGAGTGAGTTCCAGGACTGCCAGGGCTGTTACACAGAGAAACCCTGTCTCAAAAAATAACAACAAAAATAAGAACAATCAATTGTGTCACACACAGCTCTTGGGCAGAGCAAGTGGAGGACCGGACACCAGCAGTGGCCTTGATGATGAGGCAGTCCTAACTGATGGACAGTGGTCAGGCGGGGCTGGTCACTCCTGTAAAGAGATGGGAACAAAAGCCCAACTGTGCATCTTCGAGGAAGAATGGGAGATCAAGGGCGGTGAGGAAAAGCAGCTCTTAGGAAGAGTTTGCTAGAGTAGAGTCGGGAAAGGGTGTTGCTGGAGAGATCCAGAGGCAATTCTCAAAAGCAGAAGACAGGCCATGGTGTTTGTATTCTGATGGGAAAGATCGGATAGAGCAGGACAGCGATGACATAGGCAAGAGCAGAGAGAAGTGTCCAAGAGAAGGACACGACAAAGAAGTCAAGGACGTGAGCACCGTAGCAAGAAGGAGTGAAGGAGAGCATTAGAGATCTCTTCAGGATGCTTCAATATCCCCCAGTGAGCTGAGAAGCAGAGAGGGGAAGGAATGAGGAACGTGTCTGTTGAAAAGACACGAAATATCTTAGGAACGAGAGTCTGTGTATTATGAAAATTTAGTCAAGACAGTAAAGTCCCAAGGGCCCATTTGGAATTTATGATCATGAATATGAAACAGAGCAGGGAAGAAGGCTATATGATGCTCTCCCAAAGCTAAGTGGCTGATGGCTACAAGAATGTGGTTGAGGATAGATACGAGTTCTAGGGAGCAGGGTAAAGAGGGCACATCTGTAATGGATGGACATGGACTAGGTCAGATCACAGCCCACACAGAGCAGATGGTGGAAAGGGTTAGAGACGATGGATACCTGGGACCTCAGGATTGTGTTGGTGACGGGTTCTAAAAGAGATGGGACATAATGACTCAAGTCCTGATATCCTGAAGGGCAGGTGGATGCCTGGGACTTAATGGAGTCTTCTCCTGGGCTTACGTGCACTCTCAAGGAGTTGATAATGCTTGGGTAAAGATGTTGTGACAGAGGGACTTGTGATGTAAAAAAATAAAAAATAAAAGGACACGGAGTCAAGAGGAAAATTGAAAAGCTACAGTTAACAGTGTGTCAGAAGGCCGCTCAGTGAGGTGGGAGACCCCTAAACTCACCAATAAGTGACTGGTAATTTCCTTCTAACACCAAAGGAATATGAAGATGTTTCTCCCAGGAGATGCGGACAGGTGATAAATCCCAAATACCAAAGCAGAAAGAGTGGAAAGATGCATACAGCATGCCCTTGCTTTCCAGGGCCTGGCAAGCTAGTTAAAGAGACAAAGTGAGTAATTAGCATGGGCCCAAGAGACTGATGCTCAAACAGTGTTAGGACCTTGTGGTGAGGAATATAGCAGTTGTAGTCATCTGGAAATCATTGAAGAAGCTTCTAGAATACCACTGCTGATGGAGCAGGTTCTTAAGACAGCACTACTTCAGCTGAGACATCAGTGAGATGTTATTTGTTTTCATTAGCAGCCTCAAATGCATTTTTCACACAAGATGTGAACAGAAAAATAAATACGCCATTATGTTACCAAACCCCAAGAGAAGAGGCCATCAATCTGCATTAGGCAATTCGAGAATGAAAAGATAGAAAGAAAATTGGGTCTCAAAGGAAGGGGGTGTGGCAAGCTGAGAGTGAAACACCCACATGCGTACTGTCTAAGGAAAACCAAATGAGGGAATCCTTTTCGTTACCAAAGGTTTCTGACCACTGAGGTGTGATGGCTCATACCTGTGATCTCAGCACTTGACAGGTGATGGCCGGAAGACCAAGAGTTCAAGATCACCCTCCACTACACCACACTCAAACTACAGTGAGTTAGAGAGTAGCCTGGGTTACGAGAGACCTGTCCTTCAAAAGTCCCCATGGAGACCAGGAAGAGGCTTTGTCACTCTGACATTGCTAGGACAAGCCCCTTCCCCCCAAGCTTCTCCCCACCGAGCCTGGGATGCATGCTGGATTGAATAGTGTGTCTGCAGGTGAGAGTCCGACTGAACTGCTTTCAAACCCAAGTCTTGCTTGTCCTGTTTCCTTTCTGCGAGTCAATTGTTCGGCTGAAACTCAGAAGCCATTCAGCTGAGGGAGGTCACACTGGAGGCTGCTGTCAGCCATTCTGAAGTCGCAGTGACAGCTTGTAAAAAGTGAGTGTTGGCGGTAGAGGTGTGTGGAGAGGCTAGGAAGGTGTCAGCCTTCAACTGTGGAAAGGGAGAAAGGCTGGAGACTGTCCCCTAGGGAAGGTCCAGCAGCTGCATGAGATCAT